AGTACAGCACTACACCCATCATTGGTTTAGCTATAGGTGCCGAAGCACCACGGTACGATTGTATATCCAATTGTTAGTTTTTACTTTTGTTTGAGCAACGATTATCGCCACAGGCAAAGCAAAAAGTAATAGAAAATTATTTGTCTATATACAAAGCGCAATTATACCTGAATTCTATACATTACGCATTCTTGTAAATCTACTATATATCTAATAACATTTTCATGCTTTAAAAGTCTTACCCGTTCCCAGAAAGCAATGCAGTTTTTCGTATCCTTTTCGAAATCTGTTCGAATAAATTTGCAGTTAATGTTCAATTCGCGCAGAAGTTCAAATTCATAGAGGATGAAAGATGAGCAGCATTTCTACATGCAAATAAATTGACAAGTGCCGAACGGTAAGTGAGTATTCGATTCTAGATCATGCATAAACAATTTTCTACATATAGGTTTTGAGGTCGTTCGATGATCAACGACGATTACTGTTACTGTAGGAGTGATGTAGCTATCAATATAACGTAGAGGAAGCATCAGAGTGAAGTTGACGTCAGTGGCCAGTGCTAATTACTTGTCACTAATATTTTTCAATGTCATACTTTTTTAAAGGTTGTAAAAACACACATTAGGTCGAATCGCTTGACTACATAAAAAATTCAAATCCATATATAGTTCATTTTAAATAAAAAAGTTCCCCATATCATATGATACTTAATCGTTCTGGGGCCGTACTGTCATGAATAGTTACGAGTTCGTCACTCCGACAGCCAATCACTGACGGCTTTTCAAGCTAAACCAATCAGTCATATACGAGAAATTTGCCACTACGTGTAATGAAGCCACTACGCATACTTAAGCGAGCTCTGATAGTTTAAGCAAACATTAAAATTTACCTTCAATCTGAAGCGTTTCCGGGCCATTGTAGATGAGCGGATTCTTGTGCATTTTCCTAGCCTTCTTGAAGGCCAGATACGAGGTTATCGCACTGCCCAGTCAAGAAGTCATATCAAGGAACAAACATGCAAAACCATAAAAAAATAAAAATAGTTATCAAAGTTAGCTTCTATGCCTGTCAAGCATTGCCTAGTATGAAGCATATTTAGATGTTGATTAATCATTGATTTGTAGCACTTCATAAAGCAAATGAAAAAGGTTTAGTGATATCGGCATTCTACCTAAAAAAATTTAAAATGTTATTACGTACATTGAATTATTTTGTAGAAATGAGATATAGAGAAGGATGACCTCAATCGTTTTAAACGGATGTCTCAATCTAGATTTTTATTGAAAACTAATTCACCAAGCCAAAAAATTTAACATTAATTCATATTCAAATATTTTTTCACAGGCTAAACTTTTCATAAGTTGTCCTATGAGATTTTCCTATTACAAAAAGTACTATGCAATAATAGAGATAAAACGTATGTTTCATGCAATATGATTTAGTTATTATAATTTTCAACTCACTTTCTTGGATCACGTATAAGTAATATTATCGGGCCGTCCCGTGGGGCAGGCTTGCCTCCGGTCAGATGATCTTTGATCAACAGTGTCGTGTTCGATGTAATGTTCTGCTCCTCGCCCAGGTATCCTGCCATTAAATGTGCTCGGTATTATTCTCGCGGAAACATGCTACGAAGCTAAAATTGCAGGTTTCTCCAGATAACGGCATACCATCGAAGACTGAACTATGAGTAAGGTGATTTGAAAGAAGATTCATGAAATCTAAAGGATTCCAAAAATATGATGCGAATGTTTTCTTGATTTAATCCACTAATGAAATTTTAAATAGTTAAATAAAAGGATTCATCATTCAGGAAAGTGAATTGAAAGCCTTGCACCAGCGAAGTCAATCACTGAACTCGAAGATTACGTAATACAGGACATAAATAATGTCTCGTTTCATACCTTTATATTCCGGCACAATTTTTTCCCTCTGTCTCATTTTTTTTTTCAGGGTTCATTCTGAGACACAGAAGTCTATATGTGCATGAATAATTGTGAATTATAGAAAAGAGTAATCACCAAGGTTGTAAAGCTTCTGGTCTACGTAGACAGAGCCCGTGAAGATGCCCGTGGCGCCCTCCACCAGGTACCGCGTCCAGGTGTTGCCCGAGCGCGGGAACGAAATTAGATAAACCCGCGGGATGTCCACACCCAGCCTCGTCTCAAACCTGCCCACGTGATAATGGCTACGAAGTTAAGTAAATCCGCGGGATGTCCACACCCAGCCTCGTCTCAAACCTGCCCACGTGATAATGGATGGCTACGAGGTTAAGTGATTTTGAATGATATAATTTATTTATTGAATGTCAATTTTCGAAGAATATTCAATCAAGATCATGATATTCTAGTAACACTCTTAGCAACTTCATGGAGAACAACAGCATTTTTAAGGCAAAATGTATCTTGCACAGAGCGGTAATGATTGTAGCTAATTCAACAGACATATATCATGTTCACGAATGAGAAATTTATGAGCTAAAAAACTATTTTAAAGTATTAACCTGCTGCAGGTTGTGTCATTTGGCCACGGGTGGGCAGAAATTGGACTTTGCAAGTCCTGCTGGAAGGGAGGATGTTCAGGGAGGCCAAGGAATTCGCCTCCTGAGTAATTCCAGCCTGCATAGCGAAGGGTCAAATAAAACTGCTTCTTCAGAACAGAATCTGCTTCTTGGGAATACATTGCCAATTTTAATTGAGTGCGCAAATCATAGGATATATGAGAATGCAGAATAACTCTCCACCTTTGAAAACTTGTTGTCGCATAATTTTTACGATGTAATTATTAGAAACAAATATTTATAGTTCTCATAAGCGACGTCTGTGCAAATAAAAAATGTGCGGCATTAAATAAAGTGGTCAACAAATGTTGATAATATCACCACAAATCATCAGCGTGCAAGAGAGCCATTGTCTCCGTAGACTAAATTGCATAACGTGATTTATGAATGTTGGGACGTAATTTGAATAATTATTATTAATTGCGGGCAATTTACTCATAAATCATCCACAATTACTCACGTAACTGCTGAGCATTAATCCCGATGAGCGGATTATTGGTCTCAGCAGGCCGTGTGATTCTGGCGACAAAGGTATTTTGTCAGGAAAAATCAGTTAATTTTTAACAAACTACGGATTGGATTTAAAACATTAACACTCTGATTTGCACACCACTAATTGATACTAGCACTCTGATTTACAAACCAATAATTGACATTAATACTCTGATTTCCACACCACTAATTGATATTAACATTCTGATTTACACGTCACTATTCAAAAAATTNGTGGCAGGCGATCCTAGCCGTGCTTATAGAATGCTAAGTTAAAGTTGTTAGGGAAGGAAATTAAACAAATAATAAATATAAATAACGACTTTCTTAGTGTTGTCTGTGAATTTTTAATAACAACAGAACGAATTTTAATAAAAGCTGAACGAATATTTCGAGTATTTCTGCCGGGTGCTGCTGCCTGACCACTGGCTGCAGGGCGTTGATTGATCTGTTTATGTACATAGATAGATCAGTACATTGATCTATTTTCCAGCTGAAAAATTGAGTGGAAGATACGGAACCATAAGTATTTTTAAATGAATTTTTACCAGAAATGTCATTATAGTTTTGCTGAAATCGACTTCGTTCGAATCATTTTATTCTTCTGGGGTTTTGTTATACGTACCTGAGGGCAAAGATGAGGAACGCGGAAGTGAAGAATATTACACATATAGTCTTTAGGAACGTTTTCCTCATGAAAACCTGCATGTTTGCTGGCACTTTAACTTATGTTGAAGTAAAACACGCAAATTAAAATATTTTTGAACACAAATCCCTGCAGATTTCGTGTAGGTTTACTTCGTGGTGGATTTGGTCAAGCTTTTGACCTTGGACAAGTCTGAAGAAATGAAGACATTTCGAAATAATTTCCAATCTAAAAATCATTATGAGAAATATAGATATAATTATATTATTTTCTCTCAAACTCGCATATAACTAATAAGATGAATAATAGTATATTTTCCAGGTCAACGCCGCACTAAACATTTTTCTCTGAATGACTTCTTCTCTGAGTTTTCTAAATCTGCTTAAGACACAAAATATTTTAACTGGAAAAATTGATATGTGATGGCTCCAATAGATTCTTCCATAGCCCAAAAATATTTGACTACGTAAAAAATGGTTGATCCCATTTGTGCTGTGAGCCCAAGCTAGAGTCCTGTTAGTCGTCTTAAGAGAAGGGCTTGTTGGAACACTTCTATTCTCTTCTATAACTAGGTCTTTCTTGCAAAGATGCATGTTTCAGATCATTTCGAACTACTCAGGACGAACAAAACTAACTTAAAGGAAAGGGTTTTAATCCTGCTACTGCTGCAAGTGAACACTCCCCGTATCCAAGGGCATGTCATGTCAAACTTGGTCGAATTCACGTAAAATTCTGGAATAATGAATTCCCATAGAAACCCAAGAGTCCTCCACCACTGCCTGGACGTGACTGATTGAGCGTCGCCTGCGCCACCCGTGGTTATTATTTGCCTGGACGTGACTGATTGAGCGCCACCTGTGCCACCCGAGGTTATTATTGCTTTATATTCTTATGTAAAAGTTCATTCTTTCTTTGGTTTGGATAAAGGCAATTTCTCCGAGGCACAGACAAAAAAAAAATTCCAACCAAAAACTGTTGTTGTTAGGCATACGTTATTGTGTCTAAAATCTACGTGAATAAATCCTTCAAAAGTTCATACATTCGTACGATTAAACGAAAAACACTGAATGAACCGAAATTGTACGAAGTAACAATACTGTCAAATTTTGCAACATCATCTATTAAACTTATTTGTGCACGACCGCGAATAAACGTCTGAAATAGTACCTGCCGAATAATCCATTTCCCACCACATAACCGAAAAGCATAAACATCCATTGGACTTCAGACCTGCAACGATTGCTGCTTCCATCAGTCTTGTTCGAGTCATAACAACAAGTTCCGATACCGACATGTTCATTCGTAGAAAGCTAACACTGTGAGATTTATAGTGGCATTCAGAAGAGTGGAATTCGTCTTGATGTTGATGCATTAAAAGCTGTATCGTGACACACACGCCGCTGCAACCTACACGTGGCTACCACTTCATAGAAGCCTTATGTGATCGTATAGTTCGGTAGTACACTGCCTTTGGAGGATAAAAACAAGACACAGTAATTTGTGACGGCGAACTCATGATCTTAATTACACTGTGTACATATGAGTTCCTCATTCGGCTTCCAATAATTGACTGACTCCTATCGAAATATTCTACCTAACGACAGATACGTCCTTCTTCAAAGAACCATTCGTTCAGTTCCTAAGTCAGACTAACAATTGAGAAAAATACGTTAGGAAAAATAAAGAAAATTAAAGATGAGCTCGGAAATTTTTAGAATAACAAAGATAAATACAGATTCAAATAAATAAATAATTACTGTACGCTATTGCGATCATAACATTTCCCCCACCAGTGGATATTTATAACCACGCAAAAAACGAATTATCACGCTTCGCAGCCTAAGTACATCATTTACAAAAGGTTTAACAAATTCTGTTTCCTTAATCATCTTAACACACACAATTAACACAGCTATATTGAGAACACAATTAACAGCTATTTATACAAGTAAGCGGTCCTTATTAATTACATTGAGTAAAGGTAAACTAATTTTTTCACAAAATATTCAAGCAAATTTACTTACAAAGTCATCCAGTGATATGAATGAAATTTCAACCCATACGTGTGATAGTTGAGTTACCCAGAAAATGTACATTAACGTATATCGCTGTCATCATATCATAGCATTTACATTTCATAATGGCCAATTTGGTATATGCAATCTGAATGTTCAAGGCAAGCCAAAAATCACCCTGTTACCTTGGTAGCGCAATTCGGCCTACTGCTGAAACATAATTCTTAAATTTATGCTCTCCCGTACCAGCTAAGATACGCGCGATAGACTCCTGCGTTTGTTTTTTTTTTATCCGAGACGAGACGAGACGAGACAACAGGCTCTGTCCCGGTTCACAAAAAAAAACGGGACAATTTTCAGCCCTCCGTAGAAATTCCGGGACGAAACCGAGACGAGACGAGACATCCCGGTTAAAATAGGTACCTTAAAATTTCCCGGAATTTATAGCCATTTTAACGAGACATAACAAGACGAATCAATTATAGATGTGGTGTAAACTTTGGCTTATTATCATACATTTATACAGAGCTGGGCAGCGCTACTTTGAAATGTAGCGGCCGCTACCACTACATGCTCTAAATGTAGTGGGCGCTACCGCTACCGCTACAATTGCTTAAATGTAGCGCCAATACCGCTACCGAAAATGTAGCGGCCGCTACATGTAGCGCGCTACTGCCCACCTCTCGTAACAACTAACATGTTGACACTAGTAACAGGCAGAGGTTGGCAACACTACACCGAAATCTTTCGTACAGTTTTATTCTGTAATTTATATATGTATGTATCATGCTGCTTTTTAAATAATATTTAATACTATTAAGTAAATTCTAAAGGCTTTATCTATAAATGTAGCGGTAGCGCTGTAGCGGCAAAACCTCGTATCGCTACTTAAATATGTAGCGGGCGCTACCGCTACCGCTACAATTGCTTAAATGCAGCGCCGCTACCGCTACTGAAAATGTAGCGGCCGCTACATGTAGCGCGCTACTGCCCACCTCTGCATTTACATAACTTGAGACGTATCATTTAACTATTCGGATTGGAGCTCGGCAATTGAAATGATTTTTGCTACGAATACATGTTGTGGTTTAATATGGTACTTAATCTTGGCAGGCATATAAAATGGAAAAACACGTTTTTTTTCAAAAATTGTGTTCTATGATGGATTGGAGGAGGCCATACTAACTGCAGCTGCTGACATCGGCTGACTGGACAGATTTTGATTTGCCTCCAGCTCAATCACAGGATCAGATTCATCGATCTTGCCTTAAGCTATCTCCTTCAACAAAAAGTTTGAAAGAAATATCAACAACATTTTAAAATACAACAAAATTCAAGTTGGAAAAAATATAATAGTTTGATCTTCAAAAAAGAACTCGAAATATCCATGTGTATCCTTTCTAAATAACTGTAAACAAGCCCTAGTGTTTGATAACAATTCAGGAAACTGCGCAATTGTGAAGATTTCCTGAAGGCGTAGCTCAAAATTTTACTAAAGGCAGAGATAATCTAATACTAGCTTCAGTATTATTAGGAATATCTTACCAGGACTCCACTCCACCGTCTACTAATTGGCCGACTAATCTAGACTCTGCGTCCCTACTCCCTATGCGCTCCATGGCGCCTGAACTCGTTCCGAACGCGTAATAAACTCGACTCATATTCGTACGGTTCGTTTAAGTGCCATCGAAGCCTTAGTTAAGACTTAAGAGTAACATTTTTGACTCAAATTCTCAGCCATGCATACATCGACAGGTTTGCGGTGTTTGTCGGACCACTAATTAACTGCCATGTCAGTTAGTCAGACAAATTTTGGTAAATCTGCAATTAACTTAATTTAACTGGTAACTGTCTATGGCCCTATTAGTAGCAATAAAGGGCTAACTTGTCATTCTTCAACCAATGTTTTCGAAATGATTCGTATCGTAACCGAAAAACTTGTTTTGTATTAAATAATTAAGACAAATCTCGTCTCGTCTCGTTATGTCTCGTTTCAAATCTGTCTGTCTCGTCCCGGTTCATAATTTACCGGGACACAAGTTTTAAAGTCCGGGACAGAAGTCTTGTCTCGGTTCATACGTTTATTCCGGGACAAATTTTACCTTCTGTCCCGTTATTTTTTTCCCGGAATTTTCTCGTCTCGTTTCGTCTGTCCCGGTACATTTCGAGAAAATTATTTCGAGACGCAGGAGTCTAACGCGCGACTAAAGCAAGTTTAAACTTAAATATAATTGCACGCGCATCAAGTGAACTTATACCTAAAACCAATACACACAACATTTTAACACCCGATATAGCAATACATTCGATTTATACATCTACTCCATTTCCAGATTCATAGCATAACCATTTATTAGTGCAAGTTCTATACACCAGAACTCTTGGTTGAAAATGAGAGTAGTTCTCTGCCCTGCCTTTCAGAACGCGTAATTCTCTGCACTGGCACAGGCATGTTAAATACAGGTAATTCTGTAGCTACATCTGAACTCTCCGATTCTAATAAATTATACCTACCCAATCCACTCCCACTACCCATATACCTCCTATCTCAAATTCCACTTAAGACATTATCGAGATACCCTCGATCATTATGATACCCTGAAGCTATGTATCGAGATCGCGCTTCCTGTTCCTGCATTATATTCAGTACGATTCTGACAGCGGACGCGTTCCTCGATAATCCTGCATTCTCTCCGGCACCTATAGCTTTCTTGTTACGTCAGTGAGATCGAGAAACGTAAACAAACCCGTCATTCCCATGACGGATTGGTTGACTGGTTTGATCGCATTTCCGTGATGGGTTAATGCTCGTAAAAATCACTGAGACCAGTGACGTCACAGGCGAATAACAAGCCTCATCTGCGAAAATGAGCTTCTTATGGGTCAACCTTATATTAGTTCAACCATGTTCTACTCTACCTTGTTTATTCGGCGTCGATGATTTCGGTTTTAACAAAACCGCTGCCTACTCAACCTCTCACCATCACTCCCTCATGCGCTACATCCCGATCCCCGTTAGTTTCTCCCGTTTCCTCCAATGCTTTACGATTATCATTCTCTACTCTGTTTTATTTAGAATTTGACGTGTTCCCGCCTACTGCTACCAAATTCGTCGCGCTGCTGATTGCCCTCACTATTTACGTTCGAATTTCACTGCATTGCGTGTTAATTTTACGACG